GAAGGGTTTGGTGAAGGTAAGGTTCAATTATTAAGCCTGTATGGGCCTTATTTCAGCTTGCCTGTCTGCAGACTTGTCACTATAACAGCTGCTGTGAAGGGACCTAAGAGGAGGCCAGCTGGATCAGACCAAAAGCCCATCTAATTCAGCTGTTATCACAGTAGCCAATCAGGTGCCTACAGGAAGCCAGCAAGCTGGACCAAACTTCAACAGCACTCTCCAGAAACTAGTATTCAGAGACGTAAGGACACTTGACTTAAATGTTTCTTTATGTAAAGTATTTCTTGGCAATTACAATAATTAAGGATTCAATTCCCAGAAGGGCCACTTTGTTGTATTTGTGGGTACGAACCCTGAAGCATCCCAGCAACATTGTATTGCTTTTGAGTCACTTCCATGGTACTGAAATTTTCTGCCTCTGGGCGTTAGGAAAGGAGCTGTGAATGCAGATTAGGGATTACTGTGTGTCAGGGGTTTCCCTTGTTGAGTGCTTAAAACATTTGCTTAGCTGCTTGTTTGACTTTGTGAGATGCTGTCTTTGACTTTGATTCACAGCTGGTCGGGATATAAATTGGTTTACATTGAGGTTTTTTGTTTTTTTTTTACTTTAATTGGTTTTTCTCCTCTCATGATTGAACCTAGGCAACAATCCAGGGTTTGTGTTGGAAATCCATACTTAGGTCATGTTTGAAAACTACCTATATCATTATCCATGCACTTTGTAATTCAAAGGATAAAAGCTTGTTACTGCTTCCTTCCATAGGCCACATAACAGAATAATTTAGAGTTAGCCACACCTGCCAACAAATGTCTATTTTTACACCAGTTTCAACTGCTGTTGCTTCTGAAGAATCCTGGGAACTGTAGTTTGGTAAACAGACTACAAATTCTCTGTTTGAGTTTTCTAGCCCACTTGCAGAACTACGGTTTTCAGGCTTCCCCAGGACAGAGGGAATGACTGTTAACCAGTTAGTGTCTCTTGTGTAGAAATGCCCTTGGAACAAAGATCTAACAACTATTTCAAAATGAGTGGCACTCAGCTTGGCTTGCACAAAATGTCTTGCAACATAAAACAGTCAGTACAATCACCATTCAGTGCGAGCAAGAAATGAAATTAAGGTCACAGGTAGGCTGTGCTGTTATGTGTTGCTTTTCCTCCTCCTTTGTACCCATAGGATGACTTCTAGAGTTGTCCTCAAGCTGTAGAGAAAATCTGTGATAATCCAGTCTTAAATGTAAACTTTAACTCAAAACATTGCTGGGTTTTTTGAATCCTGGAGCTCTTGCAGAAACTGCAGCTTTTAAAAAACAACAACACAAAAAGTTAATGGTTTCTGCCCTGTGCTTCCTTTGCTTAGTTGAGTTTGCTTTGGTTTAATGTAAATGGTTGTCCTGGAACAGAATATGGATGCTACATTTCATATGTAGTATGCAAAGGGTTGTGTGTGTTTGTTTTGAAAAGTTGGGTGGCCAAGAATAAGGAAATACGATAGGCAGTTATTAATGCATTCTTATCTTTACTGGATTTTTTTTCTATTTTCTTTTACCCAGGACATTTCAAGCAGCACAGAAATATTGAGAAAAGTGGTGACAACAAATGAAATTGATAACATCTACACTTAAAATGGAGAATTATCTTGGATACTTTCAAACTCCAGTATTTTGTCAACTGCAGCTACTTTGCCTGGAAGCATTTGGGACTTGTAGTTGTTCCTTTAGAAGTGGAATGTGTTATCTTTTGTACCATATGCTGACTGTTGTGGGGTGTTACCAGCTAAAATGAATTAAAAGATGACGTTTTTATTTTTCACAAACTCAAGCCACTTTTTATTTTTGCCATGAACAAAGGCAACTCCTTACATTCTTCCACCAGTAATCAAATCTATATTTTAATGCAGCAAAATAATTTTAGTGGATGTGGCAAAGCCTCTGTCTGTAATTGACTGAGTTGGCCTCCTACCACAGAAGCAGGGCAGGCAGCAAAGTCTGTGGATGCTGTTAGTCGAAGTGCTTAGGTACTAGAGATAGGCAAGGCAGGCAAAATAGTCTAATAAGATGCAAGGACATAGTAAGCAAGAACCTGATGACTGAGAAGGCAGGAGGCTAAGGAAGGCTTAGGAGAAGAGGGTGGGACTTTTAAGAGAAAGTGGCCCAGAGGAATTTCTTTGTCGGGGAGGAAAAGAAGTAAAATGGTGAGAATGGACAGGTAGGTAGAGTGGCCACTTACATTTCCTCTTTTTTGGCAATGTTTATCACCAAAGAAGAAGACACAGATTTGCATAAGCTAATTTACGTGTGTAGATTTAGAAACAGTTGATACCTTTTCAAAAGAAAAAAAGGATCCGTCCCACAATAGCAAGGAAGATTGACCTGTGCATTTGTTCAGTCTGTTTTCTAGATGTAAAATATAGATGGGCAACTTCAAGGCCCCTATTCTTCCTTTTTTGTGTTATATATCTTTATAAACTGGACTTCGATCAGACGGCCATGCAAAATAGAGAACTCCTTCTGATTGAAGCTTTTCCTCTGTAAAGAAGTACCTGTGTCAACACTATAGATAGGACACCAGCTCAGGGACAGGAATTGCAAAGTGTGGAATAGCTAATGTTGCTTGAAATAGCCCGTTAAACCTCTGTCTGCAGGCTTCTATAACTGTACAGAACAACTTTACCTTGTTATTTAATAGCCAGTTAAGTTTTTCAGTTACATCGCTTTCAAATAATAAAACCTTCTTATACTAAGAAATTGTCCCATGAAGCTTGTTTTGCCCTTTTGAAATTCTGCACTTTCCTGCCTTAGATGGTAGCTGCAAAGAGAACATAGGTGTCCATAAGCAGCACAAAGTGTGGGATCTGGAGCTGAGTTAGGGAGCTGTTGACTCAACAAGGCTTCAGAGAAGACTGAGAAAGCAGTGTCCTCACTGCCAGTCTCTCTTTACTCCTGTTCTTGGTCACTTACGGTTGCATCATCTTCCTTTCAAGGAAGCTGCTAAGGATAAAACATTCTGGACAATCAAACAGGTTGGTCTTGCTCACTCAGGGATTCCCCCTGGGTTTACTGCCTCTCTCCGCCCTGAGGCTCAGGAAGCAAAGGTGGAGAATCTGGGTGTGGCTTGGGTATGGTCAGATGGCCTAGAAGGGATCCAGGTGAGACAACCATCTTGAGGCACTTTAGGACCACCTTGAGACTTCCAGGACTGCTAGGTTTCTCCCTAGGGTCCCACCCTGCCTCTTCAGAGGAGGCTTCTCCAAGGTCTGCAGTGGGCAGGATCCCAAAAAGATGTGACTTGCCTTTCAAATAAAGACTGTGAGCCTGCCATGAACCTGTTAGACTGGGAACATTTTTCTGCACCTTGTCTTGAACCTTATGGAGGGGGGCCAGTGAATGTTCTACATTAGTAATTATGGATGGAATTGAATATTGTTCTAAGACAATTGTTCCATTGGTGCTCATTTGATGGAACCACCTCCCCTCTCCTCCCTGCACACTGTTCTGGGGGTTCTCTCAACACACACACACACACACCAGTTGGGGCCGGGGGCATGTACAGGGGGAGGAGAGATGGGAAAGCCCTGTCATGCTGCTATTCTTAATCTTATTTATTAAGTTAATATACTGCTCATCACAAGACCATGAGGCAATTTACAACCTAGAATACAAAGGTCAATAAATATAGGTATGGTGTAAAAATCTGAACGGGTTTTTTTAGATTGTAAGCCTGTGGGTAGGGACTGGCTTGTTTTGATTGTGCGTAAGCTACTCTGGGGGCTCTAAGCAAGCAAACAAAACACGTATTTTCCTTTCGGAGATCATAACAATTGGGACACAACTCACCCACCTAGAAATATGCGCTGCCTCTTCTGTCCTCCACTCTCCCCCATGCTCGATTCCCCCCCCCCATGCCACCACTGCTAATTTGGCTTAGAAATTTACAACCAAGTGAGCTGAATCAGAATAGACAAAAACTGGACCGCTTGCCCCATCTCTCTTGAAATAGTCTGGAGGTTAGGTGGGGGACCACCCTGTGTTGATATTTGTGCATGGAATGAAGGGCAGGAACTGGAGAGCAGTTTGCACAAAGCAGTTCTCTGGGTACTGCCAGAGCACTTTAATGTTGTTGTTCTCACATTTCGTCTGGCCACCTCCCTCCATTGGTACGGAAAAGAGGGTGTCTTACTTCCAACGTGCCCTGGGCTATAGAACTCCTTTGGAGGCTGAGTCAATCCTATTGCCTGATTCCATCAGGACCACACCCTGACAGTATCACGAGCTCTGCTTCCTCGCCCTCTACACCTGCCCAGCCCCAACCTGGGTGCTGTTAGGTTTGAGGGAGCCCTGGGTAAAATACTCCCCTGGAAGAGGAGGGGCACCATCACTTCGCAGGCTGCTCCCACCTCCCCGTCCCTGCAGCTACCCTACACATTACTGTACAGGCATCAACACTGGCAAAGGAATGGATAGGCCCCTTGTTCATGCTCCCCCTCCCCGCCCCATAGCTAGCCTGCCAGGTTTGCCTTTTGCTCTCCACGTTCTGGGTGGGATGTATGTAAAGAAGAGCCTGCTGCGCACCTACCGCCTTCTCCCATCTCCTGTTTCAACTGTTTATTAATCCAAAATTGCAATGCTTTATTCTGTTATTTCCGTAAGATGCTCATAGAGCTTCTCACAACCAAGCGGTCTGCTAATCTTATTAAATGAAAAGGACAGCATAAAGAAAAAGAGAACTCAGGTATGAGAGCTGCGGCCAGAAATGGCGACGCCATCTCTCACGGATAAATGACCCCCGATTCCTTTTATTTATTTCCTTTTTACCAGAAAGGGCTAAGGCTACACATTCCCTCTCCTGGGGGGCGGGGGGGGGGAAGAACCTCGAACCCGGCACCGATTCGCTTTCTTGAAACTTCTCAAAAACTTTCTTCCGCGCGGGCGGGGGGGGGTTGGAGAGAGAAGAAACCGGCCAATAGCAGCTCTCAAGGGGCAGGACCGAAGTTGCTCCTCCCCAAGTGACAGTGGGCGGGGGCGCTTCCGCAGCTCAGAGGCGCAGTGCTTTTTCGTCCCATTTGGAGCTATGGCGGTGGCGTTGAGGGCGGCGGTGCTGTTGGCGGCCTTGGCGCTTCAGGGGGTGAGTGAGGACGGGCAGCGAGAGCGGGAACCCCGGGGCAGCAGCGGAGAGCAGAAGGCAGCGCCGCTCTCCTCGCGAGTTGGGCGCAGGGCAGCGGCAGCAGAAGTGCTCTCCAAGGGCCGAGCGGCGCGCTCCTGCCTTCCCCGCGAGCCATTGTTTTTAGTGCGCCGCCTTTCACTCCCCGCGGGAAAGTTGCCCCGCGTGGCGAAGCGGCCCCGGGTTGGGAAGCGCCAGGACCTCTGGAGCGAGTCCTCCTTCGGGGGTTGTGGGGGCTCCCAGCAGCAGCAGCAGCTCCCCCCGGCCCCGCTGGCTGGGACTGGTGGGGAGCGGGGTCCCCCTTCCCGCGGCACCCGGGTCTGGGTTTTCACGGGGAAGCGCCTTCCTCGTGAGCTGCTGCCGCCGCGGACCGCGCGCCGCGGCTGATAAGGAAGCCGGCCGGCTCCCAAGTTTTGGCTCGCTTCGGCTTTCCCCCCGCTGCTCAAAATGGCTCCTGCCCGCGCAGGCAATCGGACAAGCGACGTTGAGGGTCGCCTTCTTCCGAAGAGCGGAAAGTTCACAAGGGCGGCGGGTGGCTTTTTTTGGGGGGGGGGGTCTTGGAAGTTGGAGGCGCTTCGAGAGGGAGATCGTCTCCGCCGTTTGTCAGCCGAGGCTTTGCACTTCCCAGAAACAGTGGGAAGTCCGCGGAAACGAAAGTGGGATGGGCGTAGGGCGCTCCCCAAGGAGACCTCTTGGAACCCGCCTTCAAATCCGCAAGCCAAAGCTCCGCCTGAAGTCAATTCTTGCTGCTGTAATAACCATTAATGGTGACGGCATTCGTTAAGAGGGTAACGGCGTGTTAATACCCTGTGACGTCAGACAGAGGGCTTCCGGGATTCGAGAGGACTTTGCTCTTAGCGTTCTTAGACACATTCAGACACACTTGGCGGCCCTTTTCCTCCCCCCACCTACCTTTCCTCTCCTATGTCTGACTTTCATTACGTATATTCCTATGTTCCTATTACGTCTATTACTACGTTCTACTGCAAATAGTTTCATAAAGATGATCGGCCCGAAATATTTTTACTAGCCCAGCTCCTGATACGCCGACACCTTTTCCACCTTTGTGGCCTGAAAGGTGGGGGGAATCAGTTTAAATAGTTTATATCTATGACAGGATGATTGCTTGAGACAGAAATGCTTTTAGGAAGATTGAAATGGGAAAACAACGGGGCAGAGACCTATGTTTGGAGAAGCTAGATTGGTAAAGAAATACAAGCCATCTTAGAGTTTACCTTCTTTAAAAGATAGGGGTATAGGTCTTTAAAATAAATTTTAAAATACCTGCTTATGGTACTACCTACTCCACAGAATACACTGGAAGCAAGAAATATAACTTTTAGTTTTCTACTTTGTAATCTCAATTATTTAATTTTAAAATTATGTATCAGGATACCAAGCATTCAAACCATAACAAATGTGACTGTTGTATGCACATGATATTTTATGTTACTTTTTTGTTTTTTTGTTTTGCTCTCTCTATGTAAACACATATGTTTATGAATGGTTGTGGATTTTATTAGTTTTTGTACCTTGTTTACAGCATATATAGCATGTCTTTGTTGCTGGCTGATTTGCTGCTATTGCTTTGCAATTTGCAGCTACTGTATAGCTTGTTTTGATGGACAGGTTTAAACAAAAACATAAAGAAAAGTGACCAGGCCACTGGATATTCATGTGCTAATTTCAAACTGCAGGTGGACAGGGGTGGTTGTAATTTTGATTGTTTTCCCTTAGGAAAACTAGCACAGACTTCTCCCTGACGTAATATTTAATTATTTATTTTGCAGTGAATTTTTATGCATCCCCTCTCTAGCAGTCAGGACCAGTACACTGTAAAATTAAGTTATTAAGTTCAACAAGTGCTGCTTAGCAGATCTGGCCTTGTAAGGTTCCTAAATGAGAGCACACATAGGTACCATAGGCAAGGTGCTATATTCCAAAGGCTGCAATCCCATACATACACAGTTCCCCCATTTGAACATGATGGGGTTTGCTTCTAAATAGGCATGATTAATATTGCACTGTAAATTCACTGAAGAATTTAATTTTTCTTGTAAATTTTCCTTGGACTGTGGCAGTATAAGTGCAGCTGATATTACCACTGCAGCTTGGAAATGTATCTTACAGATTTAGATTGAAGTAATTTCCAACAAAGTCTCTGTGATTCTAAACACAGACAATTTTCAAGTAAATGGGATTTTTTTCAGTTGGAATGTAAGGTGGAATGTTCTTGATTGTTAAATGTCTCAGTAACATTAGCAATGTTAGCATTAAAAATAAATACTGAATGTCTGAAATGTAATTTCTCCACCAGCCTCTGCCAACCCAAGGGGAAAATAACAGACTTTGCATCTAGGTAACAAGCCACATAACAGTATTTTCACAAAGTGCATTATTTTAGTAGTCAGTAGATGTCACAGAGAAAAAACTAATGTGCACATCCTAATTAGTTTTTGCTTTCTTTCACTACTAAATCACCTTGAGATCATTGTGCTTTAATTCACTCTGTGTATTGCTTTTTCACCCTGGTTCTCAAACTGAGTGCAAGGAAGAAAAGAGTCTCTTCTGCTGCAAGAGCCTAGATGGGGCATCTAACTCATAATGAAGGGTTTTTGAAACATGGGCATCACATTTAGTATATCTAGGAGCAACTTTCTAGTCTTTTGTTATTGAAATCTCTCCAGCTATCTCCCTGCTTTTAGTTTACAGCCTAGTGTTCAAGGCACAACTTGGAAATTCATTCTGTTTAAATCAGCGGGATAGGAATAGTGGAAGCTGCCACGTGCAATTTCAGACCATTAGTCCACTTAGTCCAGGGTGATTTACACTTAACTGGCAGTGACTCTCTGGGGTCTCTTGCAGAACCCTGCATCTGATCCCTTTCAACAGGACACCTCTCTCAGCTGGCCCCTGCCTACCTACCTTTTTATTTACAGCCAGTCTAGGACGTGACACTGGCTGTTAACTTCCTCCTCCTCAGCCTCCTCACCCTTGTACAGTTCAGCAGGGAGGAGGCTGGGGGACAAAACTAGAATCTGTCAATTCTGCCTGTCATTGGCTGCGGTAGCTCCTTTCATTTGCTCTGACTCCACCTACTGTTGGGTTCCTTGCCTGGTGTCCTACTAGTCCCAAGGGATACCAGCCACCATTTGGAATTGGTTGTGAGGCCATTTTTGTACAAGGCAAGTGATCTACCACTGAGCTATGTAGTCCATCCCAAAGTTGAGTTTGGCCTTATCTCTACCACCCCTAGTGGTAGGGCCTATTCCTACTGCACAACAGGTTCACCGTTTCCCATTGCAGAAGTTTATGTTTTGCGCTAACAAGGGTGGTTCTGATCTCTTTCTTTGTCATGCATTTAGACTCAGAATTAATTGTTGAACATGTAGGCTTGTTCACATTTTTATCTTGTCTCTGATCAGTTTGAGAACCACACCTTTTTACCACTAATCATCTTTCAATGTCAGAGCTGACCACTATATTTATATGTGCAGCTTAAAAGTAGAGTTCCAAGTTGTGAAATTGCACTTTGAATTCTCCCAGTTTCCAATAGCCTGAAGCCAGCCTGTTTTTCCTTTCTTCTCCTGTGATGAGGCTGCATTTTAATGTTTTAATCTTGTTTTTTAAGTTGTATTCATTCAACTTGTTCTTATTATTGCTTGTTAGCCGCCCTGAGCCCGGCCTTGGCTGGGAAGGGCGGGGTATAAATAAAATTTATTATTATTATTAGGGTTTGAGAAGTTCATGGATCACTCAGAAAACTTCTGTTGACTAATAGATTGAACAACCACATTGTGAAAATCCCACTGGCATTGGTGAAGCTGCTTAGAAATTGAAAATGTTGTCCTTGCTAATACAGCCAAGATTTTTGGTGAAAGTGCTGCTCCAGAACTGCCCCATTTTTAACACCCCAGATTTTATTTTATAATATAACATTCCAGTCCTCAGAGGTGTGCTTGAATGTAAGACGAGTGTCCAGTTCTTCATGTCAAAACAACTTACCGTATTTTTCGCCCTATAGGACGCACTTTTTCCCCTCCAAAAATGAAGGGGAAATCTGGGTGCATCCTATGGGGTGAATGCAGGCTTTCGCTGAAGCTTGGAGAGCGAGAGGGGTCGGTGCGCACCGACCCCTCTCGCTCTCCAGGCTTCAGGAAGACATCCGCAGCCTAGGCAGCCCTGCAGACATCCGCAGCGTGGGGAGCCCTGCAGGAGTTCCCCGCAGGGCTCCCCACGCTGCGGATAGCAGCCTGCCGCCTGGCAGGCGGGGTGCCCTGAAGCAGAGCGCCCCGCCCACCGGACAGACATCTGCAGCGTGCGGAGCCCTGCAGGAGTTCCCCGCAGGGCTCCCCACGCTGCGGATAGCAGCCTGCCGCCTGGCGCGCGGGGCACCCTGAAGCAGAGCGCCCCTCGCGCCGGGCATACATCCGCAGCGTGGGGAGCCCTGCAGGAGTTCCCCGCAGGGCTTCCCACGCTGCTGATAGCAGCCTGCCGTCCGGCGGGCGGGGCGCCCTGAAGCAGGGCGCCCCTCGCGCCGGGCAGAAATCGGCCAGCCCCACAAGCTCGGGGGACAGCAGGGAGGCACAGCGCCGCCATCCCGCTGTTCCTCGACCTGGTTCGGTTTCCCCGACCTGCTTTTGGGGGGAAAATAAAGGAAAAAATTTTTTCCTTTATTTCCCCCCCAAAAAACTAGGTGCGTCCCATGGGACGGAGCGTACTATGGGACGAAAAATACGGTAGTGTGTTTCTTGGCTTGCTTGCATTTTCCATTCAACAGAACTTCCTGACTTGCACTTCCGCTCCAGTTGTAGCACACTGATCCGGATTGTATAAATTGCAATAAGGAGCTGGAGTTAGGCCACCTTTCTTCTCATGGAAATGAGTGAGTTGGCATTAACTTTTCAGCATATCGTGAACTTTCCCTCTGTCCATGCTACTGTCCAATTCCTTCTTCAGTTCTAAAAGCAGGAAGCCCACAGTTTGCATGCAGGACAAGGGTAAACCCTTTAAAATAATGTATGTCTCATATCTAGGATGGGGAACGCAGCTGTTGCTGCTGGACTACAACTCCCATCATCCCATTGGCCATGCTGACCGGAAGGCCACAGTCTCCCCATCCTTGCCTTAAAGCTTTACTGCTTGCCTTTCCTCGTGTCAGAGGGTATTTCTTACTGCAGGAAACTCTTTTACCCAAAGTGTCAAAAGGAGTTTTGCTTGGTGCATTTATTATGTGGGAAAGATTGTTTCACACCTCTTTTTATGGTTGCTATGAGGAGAATAAAAGTTTGATTTGAGTGTTTAAAAAGCAAAATTTTGAATTGAGCTCTACTTCAAAGCTTAGCAAAGAAATGTTCTCCCTGTGAATATGCTGAAGTACTGGAAATGAGTTTTTAAATAGCCAACAAATCTCATATTAAGATGGGATGATGCACCTGGGAAGTCCATTCCTATGAAGCCTGTCTCTCTGAATCTCTTTAGGTTGAATCTCCACGGTTGATACCTCAATGTGATCATGGAAAATATCTTGATTCTGGGCGACATTGTTGCAAACTATGCCCTGCAGGTAAGTGGTCATGCAGTGGCTTATATATTTAGCAAAATAACTGAATCTCTCTTTGTTGGAGAGACATAGGCAAACTCGGCCCTCCAGATGTTTTGGGACTACAGCTCCCATCATCCCTAGCTAACAGGTCCAGTGATCAAGGATGATGGGAATTGTAGTCCCAAAACATCTGGAGGGCCGAGTTTGCCTATGCCTACTCCAAAGCTTATTGAAAAGGATTTGTTCATCAGGTTTAGCATTTATATGGTACTCTTCCCTATATATTTCATCAAAGACTATCTCAGCTATTCTGTCAAATAGGCAAATATTAGGGCGAAAGCACACATTTATGTGTTTATTGAAACATGTATGCTGGTTTGCTAGCAGTAGTGCAGATTCACTTTAAAGGTGAAATAGATTGTGGGGGAGGTGGCAACAGTTATTTATAGTATATCTTCCTCATCTTCATTTCTCCCCTGCTCCTGCCTTTGGGAATTTGCATCCTTTATGGGAAAAAATAATACACTTTCTCTGTAAAATGCCTCTGACTTGGGAGCTTGTCAAGAAAATGATTTCCTGTTGCAAAAGTGAATAAATTTCAGAAAGGTTAGGAACCATTTAAACCAGTGTAAGCTTTCTGGTACCATAGCTCAGTCAGTAGAGCACAAGACTCTTAATCTCAGGGTTAGTGAGCTTGAGCCCCAGGTTGGGCAAAAGATTCCTGCATGGCAAGGGGTTGGACTAGATCAGTGTTTCCCAACCTTGTGCCTCCAGCTGTTTTTGGCCTACAATTCCCATCATCCCTTGCCACTGGTCTTGCTAGTCAGGGATGATGGGAGTTGTAGTTCAAAAACAGCTGGAGGCACAAGGTTGGGAAACACTGGACTAGATGACCCTCTGGATCTCTTCCAACCCAGTGCTAAGGAGATCGTACTGTTGGGCAAGCAGAAATCCTTGGGCTTGTAGAACAGTCTCCCCTCTCCTCCCCGGGCATGCTGTTCTGAGGGATCTCCCAACCCTCCGAAGTAGATTTGGGGGAGGAGGGGTATCGATAGCCCCATTGTGCGAGCAGGAGTCTGTACATTGGCTTCTGCTAGCGTGACGGGGTAGTTGAATTCAGCCTTTACTCAATTTCATTTGTCCAAAGCCTTCCTCCAAAACGGAGACTCTCCTCCTCTCTCCCTTTTTCTGCTCACACATATCACTTGAGGTAGGGTTAGGCTGAGAGATGATGGCTACCCCAAGGTTGCTAGGGGTGGAATTGAGATTCAGGCATGAGCCTTCCCAGTCTCAGTTATCTAATCTACCCACTATGGTACACTTGTCCAAAAATATGCTTGTGTTAGATTTGAAAGAATGATAAGGAGCTATCTTCAATTATTAAAGCCTAAATGTAACACCCTTCTGAAATGTTCTGCATTTAAAATAAGTTTCTGGTTTAAATATTGGAAAAAGGCGCCTATGCCCCACCAGTGGAGCACCCCATTTAGGGACCTGCTGCTACAGGTGTTCAATCTATTCCTGTGTTTTTTGAGGGGGCATAGTAGGGGCCTCTGGCAGGTATGGCTCCACCATCAGAGCTCTTCTGCAGTAGACTGACACTTCTGCCCCAATCTCTCTCACTCCAGACAATAGCTCTGGGGATTAGTCCCATGCAGTTCTGTGGAATTCACTTTCCAGTAAATGTGCAGCCAACTTGTACACGCTGACCTGTGTAAACACACATAAGATTGGGCTGCGTACATTCTTTATAGATTGACACCTTTGTAACCTTAATTTAAGCAAAAAGGTTCACATTGCAGATAAAGTCAGAGGTATGCATTCTGCAAACACCTTAATTAACATGCTTTTAACCTTGAATTTTTTTGATGTCCCCATATAATAGGTACCTATGTTGCTGAAAGCTGCATTACGCCACATACTTCTGGAATTTGTGCACCCTGCCAGGAAGGAATAGACTACACTGCTCATGCAAATGGATTTCAGAAATGCCTGCCTTGTGATGATTGCAAATCTGGTACAGTATGGTTTTGTGAACTGGTTGCTTTCTGACACTAGGGTTTTAAAAGGTCAGCTGTCTTCTCCCAATCAGTTGTATTTTGTTTTGCTTTAATAGTCTGCTGAGGGGATCCATCACAATCTAATTAAACTATGGCCCTCCAGAATGGTGCTGAACTACCGGTACATCTCTCATCATCTCTGGCTATTGGCCATGCTGGCTGGGGCTGATGGAGTTAAGTAACATCTGGAGGCAAGAGGTTTCCTGTCCCTGATTCCCCACCCACTTCATGACCTTGAATGCAAGTTCTTTCCAAGGCAGTGTTCACTTAGGGATCTTTGAGTTGCTTTGTACCCTTTGTTGTTGTTTAGTTGTGTCCGACTCTTCATGACCCCATGGACCAGAGCATGCCAGGCACTCCTGTCTTCCACTGCCTCCCGCAGCTTGGTCAAACTCATGTTGGTAGCTTCGAAAACACTGTCCAACCATCTCGTCCTCTGTCGTCCCCTTCTCCTTGTGCCCTCCATCTTTCCCAACATCAGGGTCTTTTCCAGGGAGTCTTCTCTTCTCATGAGGTGGCCAAAGTATTGGAGCCTCAGCTTCACGATCTGTCCTTCCAGTGAGCAATCAGGGCTGATTTCCTTAAGAATGGATAGGTTTGTTCTTCTTGCAGTCCATGGGACTCTCAAGAGTCTCCTCCAGCACCATAATCCAAAAGTATCAATTCTTCGGCGATCAGCCTTCTTTATGGTCCAACTCTCACTTCCATACATCACTACTGGGAAAACCATAGTTTTAACTAGACGGACCTTTGTTGGCAAGGTTAATCTATTGGTTCTCTAAATGTTTTGAACATGTGGCCCTTCCTACACTTTAATGCTTCTATGAAAAGAGAGGATGACCATTGACAATTTTAGGAAGCATTGCAGATTTATTTCTATCCTTTTTTTTAGGTTTTGAAATGGTGAAGAGCTGCACTGTGAAGAGTAACACTGAATGTCGGTGTAAAGCCGGGTATTACTGCCCCCCAAGTTGTGAGGAATGTGTCAAGTGCAAGACAAAGTACGTACATTAATGGGTTAGTGTGGCTGTCTTTAGAGAGATGCTTGGGTACTGTTGGCGCAGATTGACTTTAAATAAAAGTGATCTCTTATAATAAAAAAACACCCAAGAAGAAAGGCAAATTTTAAATAATTTGTTTTTAAATCGGGTCTCTTTTTGGTACTTGTATTTCCTAAGAAATGAGGCATACTGGTTGGTTAATATAATGATTGGCAGAAAAGTCCAAAGCCCCTTTGTGCTGGGCAAGTTGAGGGCTGCATTGGGTGGAGGAAAAAGCAAACTTAAATGCAGGTTCTTAAGAGTTACAGTTTTCATAATGACCAGGTGAGTTGGAAACAATACAGGTAGTCTTGATGGAATAGCTTCTACTAGGTGATAGTTAAGGGGGGGGGTGATCCAGCAGAGTTGATGGAATATGAAAGATAATAGCTGAATGCTTTAGGTGCTTATGGTCCGTTTGAATTTTAGCAATTTTATATTTAAAATAAGAATGCTAATTTTAAAATTTATGAAAATTAACTTTTAAAAATAAAATATTTGCTATTGGTCATCCATGTGAGAACTTCTCATAACTTTTAATAGCAAATTCATTTTCTATGAAGTTTGCACATCTGTCTGAAGAGACAAGTTTAAGATGCACGTCTTTAGAAGGCACAGATGCCCTAGCTGATTAGAAAGTCTGTCATCTTCTTTTTAAACCTAACATCTAGGTGTCCTGAAGGGCAGATTCCTGTGGAAAACTGCAGTGCCACTACAGATATGAAGTGTGGCTCTCCTACAGGTACAGTATGAACACTATGTTTTCCAGAATGACCGTCTCTCTTGCTTTTTGTAGTGGGCGGCCCTCAAGGCAAACTCTGCCCTCCAGATGTTTTGGGACTACAGTTCCCATCATCCCTGACCACTGGTCTTGTTAGCTAGGGATCATGGAAGTTGTAGTCCCAAAATATCTGGAGGGCTGAGTTTGCCTATGCCTGCCCTAGTGGAATTGAGTACTCTTGAAGTACTCATAGCTAGCTGACTGGAACAGTGAGCAGGAATAGTCAACGCTACAACATTTTGTTGCAGGTTCCACTTTTTATTTATAAAGCACGTAAAAATATTTAGGTATGGTAAAAAGATAAGAGATGCCGTATTTTTCACTCCATAGGGTGCACCAGACCATAGGGCGTACCTAGTTTTGGGAGGAGGAAAACAAGAAAAAAATATTCTGAATCCCAGAAGCCAGAACAGCAAGAGGAATCTGGCTTCTGGGATACCGTGTAGCTGTTCTGGCTTCTGGGATAACCGCGCCAAGCCTCTTCAGGGCAGCGGGATGAAGGCTCCCCCTGCCCGAAGAGGCTGCACAGGGCTAAGGCAGAAGCCAGGACAGGCACATCGCTGAAGGGGCGCTGCGCAGTTCTCCCTCTCTGAGAGGGAGAACTCCGCAGTGCCCCTTCAGTGAAGCTACTCAGATTCAATGCTTCTGAAAGCAGACTGAGAGACACCATGGCAATGTGGATTGAGCTGACTCCATTACATGAAGAAGAAGAAGAGGAGTTTGGATTTGATTTCCCGCTTTATCACTACTTGAAGGAGTCTCAAAGTGGCTAACAATCTCCTTTCCCTTCCTCCCCCACAACAAACACTCTGTGAGGTGAGTGAGGCTGAGAGACTTCAAAGAAGTGTGACTGGCCCAAGGTCACCCAGCAGCTGCATGTGGAGGAGCGGAGACGTGAACCCGGTTTCCCAGATTACGAGACTACCGCTCTTAACCACTACACCACACTGACTGCTTCATGCATGCCAGCTGTTGCATGGATAGTCTCCATCCAAATTAAAGCTTTACCAAAAGGGTATTGTGAATTAGCCCTAAGTGATCATGTTTTGGCAACTTATTAGTATTTGACTGCATTGAGGACCATGACTTGAACAGAGCACACACTATTGATTATTCCAAAGCATTCCTGGTATTGTCATCTGGTCATCTGGTCTGGTTTTACAATAAGAGGTTTTTGCAATAACCTGTTTTGCCTCTGAGCAGACCTTTGGATGCACTCCTGTTCTATCTTGCTCTGGCCTGAAGCAAAAACTCAGGATAGGAAACAAACTTGCAGTAGTGTAGGTTTTCCAGAAAATCAATAATTAGGAAATCAGCACATTTTCAGGTGCCCTAACAAGTATTCTGATTTTGCACATTTGATTTGTTTTTGGAGAGTTAACGCTAAATATTTTGGAACTGCCAAGCTTCTGCTTGCCTAGTATTTTTTTTTAAGTGGCATCCAATCATTGTTATTAATGAGCTTATGAAACTGAACATTTTTCACCCCACATTGCTGCGTTCTTGGGAGATAGTGGCCTGTGTCTTCCTCCGTGGCCCCCTTCCTACATTTACAATCAGAGGCACAAGGTAAGATTTTGTAAAGCATGAGTTAATTATGTTACCCAAAGCAAGCTGGGTGTATCTTTCACCAATATTTCAGCCCAAGTGAAAGGTTCTGGTGATTGGGACCTGTTTCTAATGTGCTTATTTTTTCCTTTCCTTTTAGAAACCAAGAATGCCACTTCAAATTCTAAAGCCATTGCATTTATTGTTGTTGTTGTTGTTGCTGCTATCATTGTCTTTGGTGCTATTGCATTATTTCGCTGGAAGTCTACAAGAAATGGTTTCTGTCAAAGCGATGAAGGTAATTTCCTAGAAAACAGCTAGGATTTGGGAAAGCCAGTGGGAAGGACCAGCACTCAGTGGCCGAGGACATGTGTAGCTTGCAGAAGGTCCCAGAACCAATCCCTGATCTCTCCAGGGTCAGATAGTAGGTCATGTACAAGACCTCTGCTTTTGTTAAATAGTTAATACTGGACTAGATGGATCAATAGCCTTATCATAGGTGACACAGAACTGGGGTGGGGTAGCCACCTTAGGACAAATATACAAAACTTCTGTGGGTAATTGAAGGAAAAGAATTTTCCACCTGCAAACTATAATTTAACCATAAACTGGAAATTAAAATAAGTCTTCAGTACTAACAACATTTTATTTGAAAGTTAGGTAAAGGTAAAGGGACCCCTGACAGTTAAGTCCAGTCACGAATGACACTAGGGTTGCGGCCCACATCTCACTTTACAGGCCGAGGGAGCCGGCGTTTGTCCGCTCCACAGACAGTTTTTCCGGGTCATGTGGCTAGCATGACTAAACCGCTTCTGGCCAAGCCAGAGCAGTGCATGGAAGCGCCGTTTACCTTCCCTCCGGAGCAGGACCTATTTATCTGCTTGCACTGTGTGCTTTCGAACTGCTAGGTTGGAGGAACAGGGACCGAACAACAGGAGCTCAGCCCATCGCAGGGATATGAACCACCACAAGTCCAAGCGGCACGGTGGTTTAAACCACAGCGCCACCTGCGTCCCTATTTGAAAGTTAAACACCATCAAAATCAGCGGCTGATGTCAGAGAGTGCAATGTAGTGTTAAGGAGGTCATCCTGTTGGCGTAAGTGCTTCTGCTTGCCCAATGGAACAGTGTCCCCGCCCTCACCCATATGCTGCTCTGGGGGTTCTCCTGTTCATTCCACTGTGTTAATCATAAAACTAAGAATGAAGAGAACATGACAGTCATGTCATCTCCATTTTGATTCCAACAATCTTAGTTATGTCTTGAAATACTTTCAAAGTCGCTGTATTATGACCCAATACACTGATATATAAACATTTATTTCTCTCTCTCTCTCACACCATTCCTGTCAAGAAACATCTGCCCAACCTTGGTGGGTAAGTGTCCATTAATGTCACTCCTTATTATAGAAACATGTCTGGTATACTTAGCTTCCTGCCTTCCCCATATTTTGGTTGGACAGGGCCGGAAGTTGTCATTGTGGGATGTGTCAAGCAGGACATTGTGGTCAGTTCCTTTCCGTTAGTCTCTTGCATCTCATAATCTCATTGATGAGTTATAACCCTGTTAAATTTGCAGCTTGGTGGCATATTTTTAAACACCTGGCAAGGGGGATATGAAGTCTCATTCAAGAAAGAGTTGTTCGCTAATCATGGAAATAAAGGAACTACTTTTTGAAATCCTTTGCTATACTGGGTTCCATGTGCTCAGTGCTGTGTGATGTTGCAGTCATGAAAACTTGTCATGATATAGTGCAGATATCTAGTACACAAGTGATAGTGGCTCAGTTTATTAACTGTGGGCCAATGGTATAATGCAATTTAGCAAGCAGCATTATTGGAAAAACTGACAGAAAAATTTAAATTAGCAAGAGGTCAAAAGAAACATGTCAGTTTTTATGCAGTTTGGTGTAACTTTATTGGCTGCACAAAAAATGAGGCATATGGTAGAACAGTGCCATAGTTTACAGCACAGTCTGGCGTGTGTGAAGTACACATTTTAATTCCCCAACCACCACCTTTATATAAATTCTAATTGTTATGGAAACAAAATACCTTTTACTTATACTCATCAATCTAAGCAATACTTGTTAATATACATAATAATTTTGACACAACTTTGTTAGTATATTCAGAAATGTTTATTGTTTTACATTTATGTATTTGTTGCATGTCATGTGGTAGAACGTAAACAGATATATCTCGGTATAACCATGTCAGAAAAATTAAATATGAAAATGAATAAAACCTATGTTACATAATAATAATAATAATGAGAGATAACTATTGGTTGCATATAAAGTGGATCATTGATGCCTATGCGTACTTTAGCAGTCTATGGATTTGTGACTCAGCAAAATGCCATGCTGGCATGCCAATATTGCCCACGCATGCATCAGCGATCTAGTTTGTTACACTGAGTGCATGCAACCCTTTATAGGGAAGGGTTTTTTAAAAACAAAAACAAAGCACACCGGATCTTGCTTTTAACTGGGTCTCTGCTTCCAGGAACGCTGTAAGAAAAAGAATCCTGGACCAAATGGAGCTTCATCTGAATCGGTAAAACATTCTGATGTTCTTATGCTTAGGCTGTGATCCTATACCCCAGGGGTGGCTAACCTGTGGCTTCCTGGTGTTGCTCTTCTACAACTCCAATCACCCCTTACCATTAGCCATCATGGCTGGGGCTGAGGACAGCTGGAGGTCCCTACCCCCGCTGTAAACAGGTGCATGGAAAGAAATTTCCCCAGCTGAGTGTGTACTGCTGAGTAAACATGTCCAGGATTGTGCTTTTGACACAAACAAGCATTCCTAAAGCTGACAACCATCTAGTACCAAAAGGGTTTTTTCCTTTTATTTCCAGCTGCTTATAAATCAGATGGAAAAGTCAGGTCCTGTATCAGAAAAAAAGTTGCCTGGGAATACTGACAGAAGCGACCTGGCAGCGGGCAACACAAATGAAGAACCTCTCCTGGGAAGCACTGAATCCACCGCTGCAAGTCTGCAGCCCAATGTAAGAAAGTGTAGAAGCTGTTCAACTGGAATTTTCTCTATACCTGATGACTATGGGGTGGGAGCATCTCTGACCACTGGCCTTGCTAGCTAAATCTTGTCAGAGTTGGGAGCTCAACAACATGTGAAGGGCCAAAGGTTTCCCCACCTCTGCTTTATGGTGGTGTGCAAGAAACTGATTAGGTTGCTGGCCATTTCTTAGGTACCAGCAATCCAAAAACAGCAGTTGGGAGCTCAAGCAAAGAATATACTTAAGGTAGATGGAAACAAAAAAAGCAAATATTGATAGAAGTATCTGAAATGTATCTCTAGAGTCTAGACTCACCTTACTTTCCATGTGAGTACTACAGTACTCCATCTTGGGATGGACCAAGATGGGGTACTTTAAGTTAATTAGTGTTGTTCAATGAGAATCATTCTCTGTACAAATTTAATATTTATATCCTGGTTGGATATTTGTGATGATTCATTGGCTCACAAATACCGTTGAATAGAGAGTTAAAGAATGTTAGGAAAAGTTTAAGCACTAAAAGATAAGAAATAGCAAGACAGAGTTGCCTTTTTGAGTACAATTTATGTGGGTGTTATGTTCACACGTATAAGTGAAACTACGTATATTTGAAACACCATTGAAAAAGCCTGCAAGCATCCCATTATTCCCCTTTTGATGACATTTTTGGGTCACTTCTGGATTCAGCAGAATGTCCATGTGCACAATCACACACATATTGGGCATACCTAAAATGGTCGCTGCCTGTATTGTTGTAAAATGAACCCCTTGAACATCATATTTTAAAATATGGTCCTTTGCTTAATTATAATACTTTGAAGAAATGCTTCAATAAATTCTGTGACAGTCATCACTTTTGTAGCATGCAATAGGAAAGGTTGCTTAAAGTTTGTCAGTGATGTGTGGTTTTCTTCAAAAAGCTATTCCACAAAGCTAAATTGCGGCTGCTAATGAATTTTTGTAGAACTGTTTATAAATATAACATGCCAACTACCCTAAAGCAAATCATATGAATTCTTTATCTCTGAATTACTACTGAGATTTATGGCGGTTATTTCCCCCCCCCCCTCAGTTGCAGGGGTCAAGGCAACAACCTGTAGTAGTTGTGGTGGCGTCGGCTGAAAATTCTGATTCTGTTAAAGGTAAGTCTTTCCAAGTGTTGTTTTCCCCACCCCACAATCTGTAAACCAGCAGAAGTATTGAGAAAGTATTCTTCCTGATTTTAACCTGATGTAAAATGATGGTAATCCAGTATTCATGTCTGTCCCAATTTTTTATTGGCTATGTTCTTAAACTTTAGGAAATACTTAAAAATTTATGTATGTGAATAAGTAGATTCTTTTCAACTTCGATTGTTCCAATTAAAATGTTTTAGTACACCAAATTCAAGAAGTTCCAATATGAGAAAGCTATGGCAGGCGAGCATGTAGAACAAGAGGCCAGTGGTCATTGACCCACATTTTGCAGAGACAAATTCTGTTATACAAGTAGAAGTCTTACATTAACTGAAATAGCAGTATGTTGAGCACTATACAGTTGGTATTTAAGTCTTTTAAACTAGATGCTGCAGAAGAAAAGAGATAGCATCACATTGAAAGAAAAATCTATAAAGTTTTTTTGAACTGCAGTTCAGTAGCATGCAAGTGTACACCTTCTAAACTAAACATTATCTTGTATTGTAGTGCTGAATGAAATCTATTTCGACTCAAGGAAGCAGGTACTACTGTATGACTGGAAGAATCTTATGAGAAAGAGTGGCTTAGAAGACAATGACATTGCTGAAATAGAGCATGATCACCCTTTACAAACCGGTGAACAACGTTATCAGATGCTAAAAACTTTACAAAACAGATATGGCATTAAAGATGCTTTGCTTAAATTATTAAATGGCATGTGGGCTATGAAGCTTACACATAGTTATGACAATCTAACAAATGAATTAAAAAGCAAAGGTATAATAACACTGGAGACTAAAGACTAATATTTTGGTTTTTTAAATAAAACTGAACAAGAGCAGAATCTGCAAACTACAAACTGTATGGGTCTGCTGACCTTATTTTAGTGCATGTAACTTTGCTGAGGATGTATAAGCAGAACGCACTGCTAATATGGTAAGTATGGAGACTAGTACCATTTGTCCGGAGGACAACAGTGCATGATGCATATCTACATCTATGTATTTTGTAACATCAAAATGTGAGATTGTAACTTGAACTCCTGTGAATTGCTGTACTTGAACATTTTGGCAAACAAATCTGAGCAGCTGCAGTTTGTCATTCAGGTTCAAAGAAGGTAGAAAATGAATGTACACAGTTCAAAATGATGCAATTTTACACCATTTCCAAATAGCTGATGAAATTGTTACTGTAACAGAAAGGACTGAAGTATATTGTATCTTAAACACTGTTACATTATCAGAAAAATAATGTTCTTTGTAAAATGTGCTTCCTATTGTGACCAAACTTCAGTGTAATACCAAAGGTTTTACATAAATTGCAAAGCGTTTTTATTAACGTTCAGCAGGCTGAAACGAGACATAATTTGCTTGAAGCCAGAACTGCAGGGTTATAAAATCATGTAGAGGTGTTACTCCAGTGAAGAGTGGGGGCAGGGGGGGACTTTATATTTACAGTGAAATCTTAGAAATGTGAGATTTTATTTTTTGTATTAAAAAAAATATACCTTTTGCAAATCTTTTATATTTAAACCCTTGTCAATAAAACACTTTCTACTATTAAAATTCATTGCTTATGTCATATGTGGGGAAATTTACAAGGAAAAAAGTGAGATGAAAGGGAATGAAACAAAATGGCTCCAATTTACAGAGCACTTAAAATGTCCAAAGAGCCTTAACAGTGCTTCATCCTTAGTTCTGAAGATGGGATGCTAGAAAATCGGCTTGCGGGGGTGGGGGGTTGAACAGATTTAGAATGTTTAACCTCACCATGGAGTGGATCCAGTTAAATTTATATTATGGGAATACCGGCACCTAAAAAACATCGAGCAGCATAGAAGGCTGAGTGAGAAATGAAATGAAAGACATTGGACGAAGTATATTTTAAAAAGCACTCCTATAATGGTCCCCCCCAATAGTTCCCCCCTTAAACGACTCAGCTGCTGTCAATTTTTTAGAAGGAGCACCACTCTCCCAGGGGGGGGGCTTTAAAAGAGGATTGAGGACATGATGGGCTATCAGTGGCTACTGGCCACGATGCCTACGCTCTGCCTCCGCAGTTGAGAGGAAGCCGTGCTGCTGGGAAACTAGCCTAGCTGGGCCACCGGCCTGATCCAGGTGAAGTCTGTTCAGCGGTAAACAAGGAACAACTAGAGCGCATGCGCGTCAATCAGTCAAGGACGGCGGTCACATGATCCGCATCTGGGCCGGAGAAGCGTCCCTGCGTTGCCTGGTCACGCAACGCCCGCGCTCCCCGGAAGCGGCGCCTGGAGGCGGAGCTGCGCTTCCGGACGCGCCGTGGGTTGCATCAGCCTGTTCTGGCAGAGCGGTGTCGGCGTCAGGCGAGCGGCTGAGGAGAAGCGGAAGGAGCGGGATGGCGGCGTCGGCAGCCGGTGAGCTTTGCGTTTCTTGGGTGCTGAGCAAGGGCTGGGAACAAGGAGGCGCGCCGGGGCGAGGGCCGCGTCCCCTGGAGCAGAGGGGAGGGAGTGTGGCGCCACAGTGGGGTGGTTTTAGCTGTGCAGTATCTGCTGAGGCGCCATATGGGGCACCTGCGGGGCTTTCCGTCATGGGGTCCACCAATGGACCACCTGCCCAGGGCTGTCGTGGCGCTGCCCCGCTGGGTCTCCTGCGACCGACAATGGGCGGCCCACGACGCTTTTGGTTGTCGTGGAATCCTCTCCGATGTGACTCACCGACGAGCCAGTTTCGATTCCCGGGAGCCACCGGCTTCCCTAAGCAGGCGACTTTCAGCCAGGTGAGGTTTCCCTTTCGTGAAATGGAGTTGGTCGTCTTCGCAACCTACGTCCCGGGGGCATTTATAGGAGCCCCTCTGGTTCCAACGGCAGACCCAGCGTCCTGGTCCCTCAAGGGGCCCGCCAGAGAGCCACTGGGGAGTGCTGGGTGCGCGGTGGATGGGATTCGGATGAGTACTGCGCCTGCACCAGGAGGTTCCATGTAGCTGCTGTGCCTGACATTAAAAGGTCTGAGGGACAGGTCTCCCCAAGCCAGCGAGCATCACTGAATGCTGGGGCAGTGAATTGCAAACACAGAGTGACAGGTGTCATAAGAAACATTATTATTATTTATTAAATTTATGTACTGCTCTTCATCCCAGGATTGCAGGGTGGTTTACAGTAGTATTTCCTTTTGTCAGTTCTGAATCTACTGCCAGTCGTTTTCATTGGCTGCTACCCTGATTTCTACTCTATTCATTTGCCTCATATCTTGTCATGCCTTCCTTGTTCATCTCCCTGCCACCCCAGCAACTTAGCTCACTCCCCCCCCCCCCGCGCCAGATTTAAATTTTCATTAAGGGAGTGATGTTCCTGCACTCTGGTATTTTAATTAAGATTTATTGGAAGTACCTTTTCCAGTGTTGTGCTCCTTTTTTAGAGGTGGGATGACTGAGTACATGGTACTCCAAACATGGCTTTGTATGTTGATTAATGTAGTGATTGTAAAACACTGTGTCCATTAGTTAGAAAATGCTGTGAGAACATAAGGAGAACATTTACCGTACCCTTTTCTTTGCATGAGAAGGTGTAAGGTAAATAATATTTAAGGCTAGTGTAGATGATCCGTTTGACATGTTGTGAATTTTTCTTGGATCTTGCCCATTTGATTGTGCAGCTGCTGTAGTGCATGCTATTCAGATGCAATGCTGCTGAAAGCAGACTGAGAGATACCATGGCAATGTGGATTGAGCTGACTCCATCACATGACTGCTTCATGCATGCCAGCTGTTGTATGGATAGTCTCCATCCAAATTAAAGCTTTACCAAAAGGGTATTGTGAATTAGTCCTAAGTGATCGTGTTTTGGCAGCTATTAGTATTTGACTGCATTGAGGACCATGGCCTGAACAGAGCACACACTATTGATTATTCCAAAACATTTCTGGTGTTATCATGTGGTCATCTGGTCTTGCTTAGGTCACCAGATGCCCTGTTATTAACCTGGGCTGTTACTGAATACAAATGTTTACTTCCACATAGGGTGCCAGGAAATGTCTTCAGTACTATTTCGATTTTGATAATACTAGTACTTTGTTTAGTTCATGTGAAGGTAAGCCAAATACCTTGAAAACATCAAGCAGCTCCACTAATAGTGTTATATAAAAGCTTATTGGCCCTCAGGCCTTTGGATACATATCAGTTTCCAAAAATAAGGTCATTATAACTTTCTAATTGACAGTGCAATCCCTTGTAAGGCTACTCAGACATATGTCCTAATGGGACTTATTTCTAGGTATGTGTATAGGAATTCAGTGTGTCTCGACCTTTATCTAACGAAGACTGCTTCGCTTACCTTGATGCAATCATCCCTGTTTGCTTCCATTTAAACTAGTGTTGGTTAGACATTTGTTTACAGAAAACAATTGATCATATTTTAAAAATAGGAATTGCTTTCAGACTAGTCTCTGACTGGTTCTGCCTAGGCCCTGAAATCTAGATACCATGCCACATCAGTGCCCTGTCAGACTCCACGTGCTATGATAAAATATACAATACTGATGTCCTCTTATATTTTTCTTGGATAATCAAAGTCCACATATAGATAATATTCAATGATAGTCATACACAGAGTAGACCCATTGAAATAATGGCAGTGTTACTCAAGAAAATTGGTTTCAGTGAGTATACTCTTATGACTCAATTGAGTAGCATGCAGTGTTCTTAGCATTTCCATTTAAACACATAATTAAGTCTTTGAGGTAAATGTGCAGAACCATTAATTTAAAAAGAAAAGGGTGATCAGTTTGCATTCCAGAGCATGTATGTAAAAACCTGCAAGCTTTGTATCCTAGATCACTTATATTTCAGGCAGTTGTCATGAGGGAGTTACTGTTTTTAACTACATATTTATTATGATCATATTTATACCCTCCCACTTCCTCTAAGGATCTCAAGATGGTTTACAACAGCCTTCTCCAGCTGGTACCCTCCATATGTTTTGGATTACAACTCTCATCAGCCTCAACAAGTATTAGAAACTCAAATATATAAGCTAGGTGCCAAATGGCACCATAAATCTAGGTTACCGTCACCACAACAAAATGTCTATTCACCAGGGGGCTGGACTAGATTACCCTTGGGGTCCTTTGCAGTCCTGCAGTTCTGTGATTCTATGTTACATTGCTTGACTGTAGCTTGCTCTTACAACAATTCACTTGTCCCAGTGCAAGAAGGAGAAAAACACACAGTAGAAAGGGAAATAATATTAATGATGGACTGAGGCAGAGGTTTTTAAACCGTGGTTGACAACCTGGTGCCCAGAAATAGCCACGTAGTCACAATTGGACCCACACCAGTAGCAAATTGCACCTGGTATTTCTAACACTGAATTCAACATGGTGCTAAGTGGGGTATGCACTTTCCCTTCCACTGAGCTCCCCCTCAAACCCCAGAGCATGTTCCCTCAAACCCCAGGGCAAATTGTGGGGGACACAGGAGGAGCAGGGGAAGTCCTGTTGCACAAGAGGGCCTTGTTCTGCGCATGCAACAACTTAGTTGAGCATTTCCCAAACTTGGGAACCCAGCTGTTGTAGGACTAAACTCCCATCGTCTGTAACTAGCAAGACCAGTGGTCAGGGATGGTGGGAATTGTAGTCCAACAACAGCTAGGGAGCCAAGTTTGAGAAACACTTAGTTTAACTCCACCCAATGCTGTTCTGCTACTGACAGCGTAAAAGAGCTTGCCAAATCATTGTGCAGATGCTAACATGCAGTTGAGGCATGCTTGGATTATTCAGTTGTGTGGAAAATGTCCAAAGAGGAAATTTGTATATTGTTGTTCAGAGATGCACAGTTTGACTTTTGAGCAGGGGCAAGTGAGACTGCAGCCCAGGAGTCCAAGGGTCAAGCTACACATTATTTTAAGCATGCTTTCTCCAGCCACTTCCTTAATGCACCCCCACCCCAAAACAAACAGTAGCTTTTTGTGACCCTAATCCGGATCAGGATCACACTGAATGGAAAGAAAGTCTGTTTCTGTTTCTGTTTGTCATCATTGCTTTGTTTCCAATTGTATGTTTGAGGAAGAATGCAAGTAATGACAGTAACTAAATAGCTAGCAAGTGATACTTAGCCAGAATAAATTAATAGCTCATATGGCTGACCTCAAATATGTATCTGTGTGTATAATGTTTACAAGCCTTAAGCATACAAATTAAAGTTATTTAAACTGTTTGCTGAGTGTATGATTAAACAGGAATGGTTTGGGGGTGATTTAAGAAGCTAACATTAGCTGACCTATGGCCTGTGGGTCATCTACATCCCTTCTTGTGGCCTGCCTCTCTGTCTAATAGCAACCCAAGCTTCAGACTGAAGAAATCAAACAGTGACTCTATGCCACAGAGAGATTATAATGGGTATAATGTTAATTAGATGGTGGTGTCTGCCCCACCCCAACCTCCTCCATTTGATATGGTCTTTGTTATTTCAGTGGGACACCAGCTGCTTCCTTTTCTGTGAGGCTGAATTTTTTTTCTGGTGGTTTTGTATCGGATCCTGGATCCCTAATGTCCAGTTGGATGTGTTTTGGACTGCAGCTCCCATCAACTCAAGC